AAACGTTTTCCACATAAGTTGAGGATTCTAGTGTTAAACGAATATGTCAGGGTTTGAAAAAGTGTGCAGAGTTCGGATGATGAGGAATTCGTATTAAGTTCGTAGGTTGGGCTTTTACTTTTATCAGAAATCATAGTGACGCCAGTTGAATTAGGTCGTCGGACAATTTACCATGCAATGTGATAGCTGCTGATTCGGGTTCGTTCGAGCGAACATCAATCAAGGCACTAATGTTAGATCCCTTTTGGTTGAGCTGTATGGTTGAGGGATCGTTTGTCCTGACTTGCTATTTAGTGCTAGTTGCTTATTGTTTGTCTCTCTATGCAAGTTAGCGCTGTTTGTAAGAGAAGAGACTGAAAGATTGGCATCTCAGGTGAACTTTGCAGTAATCGCGACACATGTGAATGATGTTCTGGGGGACTTCGGCTTGACAAAAGACTCCTGAACTGCAGACCCTGAGGGTTGCTGTTCGACTGCTTTGTCCTTTTTACATACTGGTGTCATCAAGGCTGGTGTGATTTGATTACTCACATGTTTCAGTTGGTGCCTGATTTTGGTTGCCACGGGCACTGTTTGCCTCTTGGAGTTATGGTCAAGTTTCGCCTGGTGTTCTGCCAATGATGGGGAGGACAACGTCAATAGTGACCTCGCTGATCGTAGTTCAGGAGCAACAAATTTCGCACCATTCCTTTGGTTAAATGTTCCTAGGTTTAACTGGTCCAGACTTTCTCCCAATGAGGTGATATTAGTGCTCATCAGCTGCTCGGATTCTGCCACCAGCCAGTTGCATTTCTGGACGAGGACAGTATACACTTGGCAAATGGGACGGTTGAAGAGGCAATACCGAACCAAAGGGCATCTTGATAGCTATTCATCTCTCGCAGTTGCTGTTGGATTAAGCTAGTACGGTTCGGATGGTACCACTTTGAACAAAGCAAGCGAGCTAAGCCTAGGTTGACTACTCGATTACATTATCCTGACCCGTAAACACCCTTAGTTTGGAGCCCTTTTGGATGTGCACTTACTAGAGGTTTGCCATTCCGCTTGCTTTCGTTATCTGAGCCTGTAGAATGATATAACTTTTCCGACTTCTGTGGCGGTATACATCGGTCAAAAGAACGTTGAAGTTGTAAGGGTTCATTGAGCGGTCGATGGATTTGATTTGGCTGCGCGTCGGTTCCAGGGGTGTGCAGTTGCACAAGTTGACAAGGCCACAAACATATCCAAGATGGTATGCTCAGACAGCAGCTGGGCCAACCACTGGGATACCCGAAGGAAAACAATGAAAGCAAGACCATCCCTGCAAACTTCGCAAATGGAGGTCCAATAGCCTCTTAACACCTTCCTTATTGGACAACTTGACAATAGTCTCCGGCAGAGAGTTTCAATCGTTCACTACCCGAGTGAATAGTGTCATCTCCGGATGGACATGGAGGCTCCTCGGCTTAAATGGTTTCTAATTGTGTCCCCGCGCCGAGCTTTCATTGTACAACTGGAAGAATTGTTGCAACTCAATACACGATCCACCCCTAAGAATGGGTCTTATGTAAATCAGGTCTCCTCTACGAAGCCGATAATCCAAAGAAAACAAATTCATCTGTTGCAGATGAGCATTGTAGGACAGATCAGGTAACACCGAGATCGGTTTCGAACCAGGCATCTGTATTCTTTCAAGTATGTTGCATTCAAACCAGCCGGTAAGTCATACTCAACAGCGGGTCTCACTTGCGAGACAAACAGGAATTTGAAGATCTCCGGGTGCAATGGAGAAAAAGGTCTTCTTACAGCTCTGAACATCATGTTGGTTGCATCGATTTTCCTCAAAGTATGCTGGGTTGCCTTGAGATCGAGAGGCACAATAGTGCCTAGATCCTTCGGTAGGGTGACATTCATGTGCAGAAAACCGCCGACATGGTATGTACCGGAGGGTTCAGGGTAGAGAAAACAAAACTGCCGCAGCACGGATGGCACACACCAGTGCCGTTCACAAATTCAACAAAAACACCGGATACTCAGCCTCCAAATCCAAAACCAGTAGCCACCAGGCGCAACCATTGTGCCCTAAACATTGTATGCACAAATGTCCCCGAATCCAAATCCAATACAATTAAGGGTAAGTTGACGGACGATCGAATTCAGTGGGGTTCCATCTGTACGTCGATCAGTGTCCATGCTAATCCCACGACATTAAAAAGAATCTCGCGCCACATAAACGCGTTGCACTACGGCGAACCCCGGTTACTTCGGGTAACACTAAACTCGACGGACGGGACGGAGGGGTTTTGCTATCTGCGAATCGTATCCGCAACGACTCAAGTGAAGTGCGCATACTATCCGAAATCCCGTGGAAAGAACGCTCACGGATCCCGCTAACAAAGATAGCTACAGAAAAAATCACGATAAGAAAACAGTGATTACTCACGGTGTTCCTGAGCTTACTGACTCCTCTTCCGACGATGCTCAGATGCACGGCCGCGAGCAACGGCACTACATCCCGGAGGCTCTTTCTCTCGAAAATGTGGTGGTCACCTCGTTGACAAGGATCCTCATATCACCAAACTATAAGGGGTGCGGTCGCAGGCTGTTAAAACTTGTGTTACAGTCAGAACTAATGGCACAAAACCTACTAGCGAACTGCATTAAATTCCGTTGGAGATTGCCAACAGAAATTCGTCTGAAAGCAGCAGGAACACCAACACCTTTTAATGACAATTCAGTAGAGGCACAACTCTTAATGAAAACGCCAACTGCAGGACACGACTCGGGGACAGTTTCAAGCGTAGCCATACCATGCGGATGGACACAGCAGAGCACGAGCAAACACCGGGATTCGGGGCATCTGATACCTGATTATATATCAAATACTTCTCGAGAGTATGCAACCCATACAAAAAGCGATTAGTCGCCGACCCTTTATTGGTCGGCGTAAACTCATTTGCTTCATCCATCCAATTTAACACACTCTTGGCCTCCAAGAAGCTCTCATGCATGTACACAAATGCCCAAGGTCTACTCAGCAAATTAGCTGAATTAAGACTTCGACACGCGTCTGCAGCTTGGGACCTCATCGCTGTCACCGAAACGTGGTTGCACTGCGAGATAACCGATGCTGAAATGGCGCTAACAGTCATGTCCGTTGTCCGGAAGGATCGAACCAGCAAAGGTGGTGGGGTAGCCCTTTATTTTCGTAACAACATGCAATGCAAGCCCATAAACGATTCGGAAACTGACGTACCTGACGCCATTTGGTGTAATTTCCGGCTAAGAGGGAACGATCTTGGCCTATTGGTTGTTGTTTACCGCCCACCATCGTCTAGTCCTGAGATGGACTGCAATTTGATGGCTGCGTTGAGGCAAGTGATAAACAGGAAGTACAATCACATTCTAGTCACCGGTGACTTCAACTTACATGCCATCGAATCCCAGACCACACCAGAAAAGTAATTCCAAGCAGATTTGCAAGATCTGATTACAGACTTCCCGATTTATGGCCACGTCACTACGCCCACCAGATTCAGGGGAACTGACAGACCATCCATGTTGGACCGAATATTCACCAATGAAGAACTGATGCTCGAGAGAGTGGTGACCGATACTTCTTTTGGCCGCAGTGATCATGCGACGCTATTGTTTCATTACATGTGCTACGCGGATTATCCTAAAGAGCATGCCGAGGAATATCGTGTCGTAACCAACTACGACGACCTGTCCGACCTAATTGATGCAACCAGCTGGTCGTTATTAGCTGAATTAACCCCCGAGGTTACCTGCGGTGAATTCGTCAACATATTTACCAAGCTCGTGGCAAGGACATCTGAAACCAAACGCTACCGGCTTAGAAGGATGGACGCTTTCGTAAGGAGCAGGACACGTAAGTGCATGGCATTAAGGGACCTGGCATGACACACCTATATAGCCTCCCCGGACGACCATTCCTGGGATGTCTACACAATACAAAGAAACCACTGTGTCAAACGCGTCCGGGAAGATAAACTGAAGAACCAACAAGATCTAGTGGAAAAAGTCTTGCTCCAATCCCAAACTGCTATACAGACACGTAAACAATTTGCGCCGTGTTAAGCGCGGTATTCCTGCTTTACACACAGCATACGGGTTAGCCCAAACAACACAAGAGGCGGCCAACATCCTTGGACAACAATTTGGCCGTACCTTCCAAAAAGTGCAATCATCATATATCCTGCCTAAGCAGATAATGCCGCCATTAGGGCTTAATCACATATCGTTTACCTCCGCAGCTGTACTGAAGCGGCTGATGTCTCTACAGGAGTTCAGCTCCCCGGGTGCGGACGGCATTCGACCGAAGGCGTTGGAAGTTGATGCCATGAGTTTGGCAGGACCATTAACAATTTTCTTTCAACGATGTCTGAACGAAATGCATGTTCCCACGATGTGGAAGCACGGAATCATCAAGCCTATCTACAAAAGTGGTAGTGGAGCTGAACCAACAAACTATGGCTGGATGACACTACTGCCTGTGATCTCCAAGGTTATGGAGTCCATTCACTTTATTCTACTCTGCGCTAGTAATTGCTTGAGTAGAAGTGGCACGGAGGATACACTAAGTTCATGGTAATTTAGATGGTGCTCCCTAACTGCCTAATAGCAAAAATTGCGCATAGTTTTTGAGGAAGGAAATCACAACTGCCTTAGTCGAAATACCTTTTCGTAGTGGTTTCCACCGTCGACTAAGGCGGACCACAACCACCCACTAGCGATCGATGTGCACTTTGGGCGCATTGCGGATCACGCCATCTCAGCCCAGCAAATGCCAGCCCTCAGCCGCATTTCAGTTGTCTTCACCGAATCGATCGGTTCCGGTTAACCAATCAGGAGGCGGCGGTGACAGACCAATGCTACCTCAGCAATCAAGTGAAAGCAAGGACACACAAGACCAGCGAGTGTGGCGTCGTTAAGTCGGTGTAACCTGTGCGCTCCCGAGTCGACGTTGGGGGGTTGTCACAAAACCCTGCCAGCTGGATATGGCGGAGGATAAACTGAAAAACGCTAAGGGCCATTTTCATACTGGGTAAGTTTGCACCACCAGTCCTACCAATGTACGAAAGTTATTTTTCACCCCACAATTCACATGATTTTTTCATTCAGTCAGTAAATTTCGTTGTTGTATGCACAGCGTCATTGTCTCGACACCGCATTTTGCATTTAATTGGAGCAACTAATAGTGTCCCCGTGTTTAGCCACCCACCTCCAACAGTTGGCCTCTGTCGACGAGTCTGCTGCTTACACTTTTCGGATGAGGTTTTAGTATTTTCTTTTATCCCGTCGTTTGTTCCCACCCTTGTTAACCGTCATGATCACAATAACGCGAGTGAATCTACTTGGGTCCAACATTAGTGTAGACGAGATTAACTGACCCTTGTTTCAACGGTCGAGATCGCATTTCTCACTTTGTTCACTAGATGGTTTTCAGGGGAGTGATGATCAGGAGCTTCAAATGACGCTTCTATCTCGAACCCGCTGGTTTGCTTCATTGCTTTCAACTCACATAAGAATTGATGTGTTAGCGATCATCGACAGACCAGATTGACTGGCGGGTTGTTCAGAGCGCTTACTACTTGCTACCACTCGGTAGGAATGACGTCTCATGATCTGTGGCGCACTGGCTCCCGTCGTTGTAGATATCAACAGCAACGTCGGTCCTTTGTATTGATGCTTCGCTGATACGCAGTTGCAAACAGATGCTGCGGTGGGACCCGAACCCATGCGGGACTTGAACTCCTGGCATAAAGGTTGGAAGGCAAACATTTGACCACATACTATGAACCCACTTCCTTTAGTATACTCAAATGTGTCCGTAAAAGTCTTGGTGCGACTTGAAGTTTGGCACAGAAAGTGCTTATTCGTTCTTTTGAACTTGCTAACGACCACTGTTTTGACTACCGGGAAACCTAAAACATTGCAGTCTTTACGAGCACATGAGGTTGCATTCTTTTCTTTGAACTCCTCGCACTTACGGCATAATAAATGGCTTGTTTTTAAACGTGGTGATTAGCGATTTAAATTTTTATCATGGCAACTCTCCGCAATAGTGTCATTGTTATATTGTGCTTGTACTATTTTTGTAACTATAGCCTGATTTCATGATGATTTGTCGCCTACAGGAGGTCCCGGATGTGGCAAAGGGACACAATGTGAGAAGTTGGTGCATAAGTGCCACTTCAATCACTTGTCGAGTGGAGACCTGCTGCGTGAAGAGTGCGCGTCTGGGTCTGCACGGGGAAAAGAATTGTCAGCAATCATGGAGCGAGGCGAACTCGTTCCCTTGGTGAGTGGATCGGCCGGGTTTCACACCTCTAAGCGTTGCCGACTGCATTGGGTTGCGTGTTCATTTCCGTGCGCCTGGTGTGTCCGCACCTTACTTTGACACGAGTTCATCTTTAAATTCAACACACTGCTTAATTCACGGCCATAGGTCAAGTGTGACTCAGTCACCAATGATTTTGCTTTCGCTAGGAAATCCGCAGTGCACTGTGTTTTGATCGTATCTGGTGATAGCAGGAAGGCTTCGGCTTATTTACCAGGACTACTTTCGGCTTAGCGCTCCAACCCTATTTCGTTTGTTTATCCGGAGCACGGAACGTGTCTGCAACCTCGGATGTACTAGTTTTGCTTTTTTGTCACGTCGAGTGAATATTTATTCTGTGTAGTTACCCTCAACCAGCAAATTCATCTCCTTGAAATGGATGCTACTTCTTATCTTCGCGGTGATGTACAAACCTCTTGTCAGCTGGTATAATGCTGTCAGGCGCTGCTCTATTTTAAGTTTGCTTTGCGATCACAACATAAGGTCACTGTTCTCACTGACTCGGTGAACTCAATTTCCGTGTTTTATTGTTTCAGGATGTTGTGCTCTCTCTTATCAAAGAAGCCATGTTGAAGCTGATAGACAAGAATTGTTACTTCCTCATTGATGGTTATCCCCGAGAACTGGAACAAGGAATCCGGTTTGAAAAAGAAGTAAGTTGGTCGTTCATTTCTAAGTATCCATCCGTGAAACTTTGGGTGGGACTAGTGATTACACCGCAGGTAGGAATATCTCTTACTTTTTCTGTTAGTATGGTGTTGCTTTCCTAGATTGACTTTGCAATTTCAAGATCGGCCGCCATCTGATTAGTTCAGGCGTCTGCCTTGCAATCCACGGATCACCGATCCTAGCGTACGTTGATGCAAGTAATCTCATAGTGTCCTAGCCCGCGTGCAACCGATGTTGGTTGCACGGCGACGAGTCGTCGGCGCGTGTTTGTTGGTTCAATTTTCCTCCCCTAGTTTGCTATTCACCGTAGGTAGCTCTTGTCTCAGCGGTTAGAGAATCGTTACAACGTTTGAGATGCTCTCTATTTCTTAACTGCGACAAAATGTTGACATTATACGATTTGCTCTGACAAAGGACTACTTCGAAGTAACTTGTACTCCAAATTAAGATTACTTGTCGCACCCCATACATACGGTCAGCCGAGAAATGAAGTCAGAACCTACTCATAGTCTCATTTCATCGGCATACCGACATCCGTCCACTTTTGTCATGCTTATCATCAAGGGTAATCTTACCCTTTCTCTGAGCATGAACCTGACTTTAGACGGACCTAAGCCCCAGTTGAAGCATTTGGTCATCGTGCTTCCGTCGTACACGGTGAAAGCCCACCGAATGGCAAATGTTTTAAACTGCAAAGTGTGCAGCAACGCCTCCCTAACCCGGTGTATTGTTCTTAGCGATTAAACGTCTCAAGCGTTTTATTGGGACTAATCACTGTTTCATTATCAGGAGGCGCTAAAGATCACAAACTTTGGAATAGCACTTTTCCCTCAGCATCTGCTACTGTCAAATATTTGTAGAAGACAACTACTGTGTCACTTATGGTTTACGTTAATCACAAAACGGACACTCACTGTGTCATCTAGCGGCTTGAAAATATGCAACACTCAACAAGATCATCCGACCAATAAAACAGTCAGCACCGTAATCCCATGTATGGGAAAACCCAGTGGTTTCAATATCTATATGCACGTGATCTTGCGACCCACTGACACCACTTCATCAGCGCATTCCTTGCGCACAATTCCAGTCACGTGTTCTTCATGTGGTCTCGGGCTAGTTTCAACCAATTAAGTCGATAATAGGTTACCACCCAGTTGCTGAGTGTTCTTCCAAATGCTGTCACCATTCGTGCAAACAAGGAAACGCATATTTCGCTTTTCGTCCAGCAGTTTTGAATTGAATGAATCTCCGCTTATCAATATGACTCTCGAGATCATCGACTCTCCTCAGGTAACTGGGCGCCTCCCCCAGTCATTAACGTATATCCTCATATCTCCAATCTTTGTAGTGGGTTCCTATCTGAATTTGAAGGTACCATACTTTGATTAGATTAAGAGGTATAGTGAACGACAATGACGACGACAGTGAAGTGTAGTGTCCGATCAAAAGGTTGTCTACCCAAAGTGAGGAGACCCCACGACACTGATTATCTTTTACTTAGGACGACATTGAGTGACGCAATAGTAGCTGTGTGTCGAGAATGTTCTGCGGACCTCGTATGTGAGTGAAATTCCACCGGTTCGACTGTGGTACGCTAAGTTCGGTGCAAGTCTAACTTATCAACCAGTAGAACCGCTCTGTTCCATTTAAATTTTTTATTTCACCCATCCTGCTTCCACTTGGTGAACACCTTTGAAGCGAGTACGTCGTGGAGCAACTTCGCGGGTATTACTTACTGCATGCCCTTTGCACACATGTGAGAGTCCTTTAGTTGATTGATAAACCAGCCGCCGGTACCTTTCCGGTAATCCGTTTGGTTTTCGAACAGGAAAAGCCGGATTTCTCGAGCACGCACACTGTATTCAACCAACGGATCATAGCAATCAGACCGCTCTTGGATAAACTTTCTGTTAGTAATAACTGCACTGCCTCCAAAAGTACCTCTGTTCTCCGTCCTTCTATTCGATTGAACATTGTTGCTCACAGTCAGTAAGCTTAGCGTCGCCGGTCGTTATCCGAACAGCCCCCTGTAGCTGTGTGAATCGAATACTATACCCGTCATCCGAAACTGAGTTCTTTCGACTGGCCTGGCTGTCGTCCACTCCGTTCATTCTGTTTGACTACTCCAGCCATAGTGTTCACGGACACAGTGATTAGTTCTCATATAAGCGAACGTGCCAAAGATTCCGGTCTCCAGCACTGGTTAGCATACACTTGACAGTTTCGCAAATGGTGAAGCTTTAGCGTTTGACATGCTGCAGTGGTAGCCATATTCGGATGAGACTCAACCTACTTAAAACGGATTTAGGTGGCGTTTGAGCAAAACGAAGCCGGGTGCCCATTTGGCCGACTGTACATTGAGCTTCTAAATGAATGATAGCTTGCGTCGGAGGCACTTTTGTGTAATGAGAGGTTTACGTTATGATTAGCATATGAATTTGTGACAGACGTGTGTTGATCTTTGGTGTGTTCGCGGCTAGCGTTGTACGAAGGTCAAGTACACGGCTGCATTGGACTGATAAGATTGCGCACCCATATACCATCCTCTGCGAAATTGCGACTGATGGCCAGAGTTTCACCACGAATTTGTTTATCTGGTGATACATATTAATGTTTGCTGAGTTTACATGCGAACAACTGCGAGCACAACTGTCTTAGCTTTGAGTGCGCGCAATCACACCGACTACTAATCATCGAAGCTTACGTGGTATATTCATGCTCAGGGCTGCCGAACGTCCACTTCCGTTCAACTGAAAGCTTCGATGCACCGGCCGGAATACTGGAAGGACATCTACGTCAGTGCAAGAGCATGGGACTCGAATTCTTTAGCTAGTGATTTCGAGTTAAGCATTCTAACTATATTCACGTCTGAAATGATACTAAGGTGTGTGATGGTGGTAGTTTCGCTTGCAACCTCCACCGCACTTGGTGAGTGCCGTATTTGTAGGCTTAGTTAAAAAAAATGCAATTTTTTACTGCAACTAGCCGCGTACAAACATTCAGTCCAGGTACCGGAGGTTTGCTCACCGACAACGCATCGCTCCCATATCTTCAAACATGCCAACTGAGATTGAGTGTGATTAACATTAGTGTAGTGAACTATATTTGATACTGCCTAGACTTTGTTTTGAAATTAGATGTTTCAAATTGACGCTATCGAAGAGATCGGCATTCGGTTATCTGTGCATTCATTATCGTAGAAGAGTGGTGCTTAACCTGGCCGTATTTCGGGACAACACAGATTGTGTGTGAAATTGTGTGTGCTACCTTATGTAATCAGGTTATCGGGATCCAGGAAAGCGGACGCAGTCGAACAGGTCTTGTTTGAGAAAATTTTACGGAACTGGAAAATGCGCCGTCAACTTAGGCGGACTGAAGCTCTTTCAGTGTAGTCAAAGTCCCCCCTGATACCAATTAGAGCGGAACTCGTGACTCACCAGAATCCCGTTATATATCATCGTGATGCCTCTGGGAGCCAGATCGTAGGCACAGATGGTGCTTTTTCACTGCCCAAATTTGGGCGGACCTTATCTTTGGTCCTCTCACTCGTTTCTAGTATCGGATGACTGCAGATCCATAAAATCCGTATTTGGGCAATTTCTCGTTGATACTTTGGCCGACAAGTGACAGGGGTATTTTGCTAGGTGCATAGTGGTGACTATTTGTTTGAGAAACGACATTTGTTTGAAAGGAACCATTTCTTTATGCACTTAAGCCTTTTCATCGTGGTTTGTTTTCAGTAGTGTAAGATTCAGAACCGATTGTGAAGGTCATTTTGACCTAGCAGGCAACAACCAATATACACCTGCTTCACGACCAATTTCCTCTGTCAGATAGAGATAAATGAAACTGGCAATCGAATCTATGTGTGTTTTCCAACCAACTTTGAGTGGTAATCTTTGTGAGCAACGTTTAACAGAGCGGTTAGGGATTCATTCCTGGGTTCTTGGTGTACCTGTTGTGTGTGTTGACTGTGACCTGCAACCCCAATCGTTTGCACCTTTTTTCATCTTGGAGTTGCATTCAGCATTTAACCATTTTGAGTGTTATTCTCTCCTGTACATACTTATCCCATTGCTCATAAACAATTTAAAATTACTCGACAATGCTCAATAAAACATCAACCTCGTACCTAATCAGCTAGACATGGATTTGGTTGTGCAGTGAGTGGTCTATGGATAAACACAGAACTATCGAATACCATGAAAATCAAAGGAAGCTACAGTTGTTTTTTCATGGGTATGGTACTACGCGTTTGCCCAAGCCAAATTAGAGATTTCACTTAGGGGACACCAATCCGACCCTTTGGCTGTACAGCCGTGCAAGAGAGAAGAGCGATGTCAGGAAATTGCACCCAGTGGAAACCGGTGACTGATTGCTCAGCTAAGACGCATTTCTTTTGCTTGGTTTCCAAACAGGGGCCCAATACACGTCGTGTCTATCCTTCGAATTACAATACTGTACCGAGATGCAACAAGTCAGTGTCTTTAGCTAGTGGCAAGTCACATTCGCCGCATTGCAGTATTGTTAAGTAGACGTTTGTTGCTTTTATCTAGGGAGTACACTAGCCAGGTGGAAACCCACCACTTCTTGCAACAGTGTCACCGAAACGTTTTGTGGAACGGGATAGACCCTGACCACCCAGCTGGCGTCACGTGGAGATAGTTCGACAAACGGGTCCGTATATCGATTTTTCGGACTCATATATCTAATTAATGTCCAATAATGGCATGTCGTGTAAAAAATACATAAATTTTTATGGCAGCACTTAGTATGTCCTCGTTTGTTTTTAACCTTACACAGTATACGGCGGGATATTGGGTCAATTAGTTTTCGGCCCTGCTCCGCTGTGATCTCATACACTGCATGTTCGATGATCTCAGTTAAGCCCAACACTTGATGACCGGTCTCTATCCTTCATCATTCCTCACAAATTCTCTATCGGATTGTGGTGGGGCCACTCCCAGACCATTTTGTTGGCTCAGGATGTCCGACATCCTCTGGTCTGTGACATGGCGCGTCGTCGTGTATGAATGGTTGGAACTTTCGAATGAGCGTACGGATTTCTATTTTTCCCTGTGGCATTTCAACTTTCGGGCATTTACAACGATTCCTGCGAATATGAAATAGAGATCGGCAGCTCCATTGACTAACATAATGCTCCATATCATCTGTCCAGGAAAGTATTTCACGGTGAAACTCGTTTCTTCACGATTGACTACCAGAACGCTAATCCAACGTGCGATACTGCATTTTACAAACGCTTGTGTCTTTTGCACTTGAACTATTTTGCACCTTTGATCGAACTGATTGTGGAACGAACAGCAGTCCCTTATATCTTTCATCTTCTTTAGAATGCAACCCATCTTGTCGTCATATTTCCCGAATTTGAAAACTGACCACTGCACGTTCGACAGTTGTTTTGCTAATTCCATATTTTGCACTAGTTTCTCGTTTTGAGTAGTCCTTGTTTCTTAATGTCAGTATTTGCACACGCCGCATTTGACTGAGTGAGGGCTTCTGCCCATCGTTATGATATACTTTTCTCAAAGTTGCTCACAGTAAGACCAAGAGTAACTGGTCTGGGCTCAGATTTTTTCATTTGAAACCGCTAACACGACACATTTTCCGCAATAGGATAACTATCTCTAAGAAAAACGGCTGATGCAGTCATGTTAGAGAAGTTAGTGGACTTATTCGTCTTCCGGCAGGCACTGCACATGTGGTTCATTGAATTTTCCAGACGCAGCTTCTGCTCCTCGTGTTTCACGCCAGATATGTGCACCAAATGCTATCCACGAGAGATTTGCACTCAGCCTGTCACATCGGAACTTTCTCACTATTTCAGTCGATTCATTATAACTAGATTCAATTAGCAAACTTTGCCACCCAGTTAATTTGTCCATAACCTAGCATTCTCCAGTATGCTGCTCCGAAACCGATAAACCCTACTTTTATTCGGTCTACCTAGTCGCACTTTCTGTCTTTTATCGACGGCGTCTGATTCACAAATGAGCATTGCTGACAGTAGATAGTGCATTGACATTGACCGTGAACTCAGCTAACTGAAACTTTGCAGTTGATAGCTCTTTATCGTCTTTCATGTCCTTAAGGCACATTTCAGGATATTTCTAAATGTCTATGGAATGCAAGACAGGTTCGTAAGTATTCCGTAACAAGGTAGGTTTCATTCAATTTTATGCTTTCCAGTGGCACATTGAACACGAATTCCCTTGCGACTCGTTCTCGATGTAGTTTGTTAACAACCACATATCTTGGCATACCTATTGTCCTTCGAGTTCCCCTGATGCGTTTGCCTATATGATCCTTTCAGTTGAAAGCTCATATAGTGCTAACGCTCAATCATCTTGCCTCCTTTTCGGCCTCCCATAGGTGTGCCCTTGCGTCTGCGTAGTTACTTTTGACGTGGATGAGAAAATAATGGTCCAACGTCTGTTGAAAAGGGGCGAAACCAGTGGTCGTGTGGATGACAACGAAGAGACAATCAAGAAGCGTTTGCGGACATTCAATGAAAGCACAAAACCTGTGATCGACTATTATGAAAAACAGAACAAATTGATTCGCGTGAGTATCTTGCCTCTTTTCTATTGTGGGCTCACGTGTGACTGCAGTATGAAAGTCGACTCGACTACCCTACTCCTACTAGTCAGGGACTTAAACCACTGCACCAAGGTTAACGCTTGTGGACCACCGTATTGTGCGGTCCCTCCTTCCTTGCCCTGCGTGTTACGGAAGTGCAGAGGGCTGTGTTGGTCCCTATAGCTACGATTTCTCATACAAGTCGCTATCAGTCGAGATGACACGCAAGTGTTGTGTCAGCACCCTGCGACTGCTTCCACCCACTAACGGTAGTGAGAACACGAACGAGTAGGAACAAGAATTCAAAAGTTCTCCTACATAGGGAAACCACTTCGTTATATAGCATGATGCACAAGAGTGAAGGCCAACCAGAGTAAGGAAAGCGTATGGACAAGTAAAGCCAATAAAGACTGAGCAAATAAGGAACCGATCATGATTTGGAACATTGGTAGCTCTGGACGCTTTTTCACTTGTTGTGGAGTTATCCAACCTGGTCAACTTGCTTGCAAACGTTTCGCCACCATTCGAGGTGGCATTTTCATTGCAGGATTGATAGCAGTCAGCTAGCAGGAGCTGGTAGAAAGCAAACACAAAAATGGATCCATTATTGTGTTTGCTTTCTACCAGCTCCTGCTACCTGACTGAGATCAAACCTGCACTGAAGATGCCACCTCGAATGGTGACGAAACGTTTGCAATCAAGTTGCCCAGCTCGAAGAACTCCACAACAACTGAAGCAACCGATCAGATGCACACAAAGAACGGAGAGTGAGGGTGTTGTCGTTAGAGTAGGGCTGTGATCTGATGGGGAAAAGTAATGACTCCAAATAGCCAGTAGGGATAGCGAAGTGATATGTTAAAACAAACGTCAGTGAGCCACTAGAGCAAAACGAAAGTCTGCAGACATGGACGAGTACACAGACAGACCTGTCTTTTTATTGCTCCTCTGACAGTAGGATACTCGAGCGATTACTGATTTCTGGAGAGTAACCGAGAGGATTTTTCGTGTTGTAGGTTAAGTTCATCAAAATCGGACTTATACGACCACAGCACACGCGGAATAACTTGTAGATGGGTTCATATTCAGCAGTGTCCGGTTGATTTGCGCTGCTGACAATCCCCAATAGGACGAAATGGCTATCTGTCGCTTTTCTGGATGTATGATTTCGGTTGCGACGAACTTTCTCTAACTCATCAAGAAACCAATTACTACTCTATTTCACTCATTGGCTTCCGGTGATCACCAGTTCCCCTAGTTTAACACAGGTTCTGTTGATATTTCACTGTTTCATGCAACTTATACACTTGCCACGTGCATCAAGTACCCTTAGAATCACTGTCTTGAGATCTGATGTGTTTGGAAACAGTTTACTTTCACTTCGTAGTTTGTGACTTTGTCCCGCTTCACCTTCTGTGCTTGGACGCGGAGTTTGCACGAACTACAGAGTTTATTGACCACAAGTGTCCAAGAATATCTAGGCTTCGCATTACTCACTATTAACAATGGCTGACGAAATTCCTGCACTGAGAACCACCGTTGTTCTCTCAGCACTAACCTGTAGCCCTCTGCTACACCGGCGCGACTTCAATATCTTGTTTTCCCCAATAAAACCCCAGGGTATATGTGTCTGCGTCCGAGTTCTTCGAGTGCCAGTGCTTAAATTTTAGGCAAACACAGACTGCTTCTGCCTCCACCGCTGTGTGCGTGTGGGTACCTTTTTCTCCGATATTGCAGTAAATGTTGATTTCCCATATTTTGCTCAAATTTTTTCCTGAACTTGGTTATTTTGTTGTTGTATGAAATTCAAGTTATCGATTCTGTCTAACTTGGTTACGCCCATTCTTTTGCATCAACCCTATGCAACCGTTTGCTTCCTCACCTTCCATACGTCTGAGCGCGATGGCAGAACAACATCTGCTTGGACGTGCTCAGTGAGTCTCAAGCGGCAGAAAGTAGTGTGTTCTATTGAAGCCGTGTATGCTCGTGACAGTGTCTCGGAAAGGATAATTGAGCCATGAACTGGCTGCACATCGTAATGTCAGGTTACTTCTCAGCTTTAACGTTTGAAACATTAACTATATTCCACGATTTGTCTACGGTCTGAAAAGTAAACACATTTCACGATGTCTTGGTCTTGCATATTTAGTGGAAAATTCTTCCATCACCTAGATGATCGCTGGAGCCCATTTTCTACTTTGTACCCAATGAACTTTGAACTCACTCCGATATTTTTTAGATCGAAGCCTCCGGTACGATCGACGAAATTTTCTCCAAGTTGTGCACCAAGCTCCAAGAGAAAGTCAAACTCTGAGAACTCAGATGAATTCCCCTCGTTCGAACCACCTTTAAAGATATCCCCTTCTGATAGGCAAAGATCGATATGTATTTGCCTCCTAGCGTTTTAGCGGCGAACTCCTACACTTTCAGTCTGATGTACCATATCGTATTATTAGTATTAGTACTGTGCCTTGGCTTAGATCCCACATGTTATTTTTGTTGGCAGTGGTATTTTTGCCACTGCTTTGTACACAATTTCTCTGACCACCTTGTCGAATTAGCAACCTGAACCACCCCAGATATAGTTATTTATTTTTCTTAATCTGCATTCTTACTTCGGATAATCACAGTTTCTTATCGCGCCTCCTCGGAATCACAACTTTTACGCGTAAACGTCCGCGCGACTTGATCTCTGTATTTCCCCTGAACTATCACTTAGTGTAGGCGTCCAAATACCTCAAAGCTGGTTTATGCTACCAAACTGCGTTTGTCAAAATGACCAGGAACTCTGATTGTCAAACGTGTATTATACGATGTCCTGGTGCCAAAACACATGATTGATTTTTCTGTCAGATTAACTTCAACTAATAATGGCCGATCATTGTTTTGGCTCTGCGGAAATTTACTCCTCTCTGACCTCTTGCATGTTCCCTCCCCTATCCTGGGCACTGAAGATTACATGCACAGTTGCTCTAACTTCTGTCTACTACTGACTACTTGCGTTGAAATCACCGTATTATCAGCGACTTATCGAGGTCTGTTTGGGAATAACTGGCTTCTCGTGCAGTTGACTGCGACATCGTACTCGGCAGTGACACCAGCTATAGGTTTTGTGCATTTTCGAAGGCAGGGCGGTTTACTTATCAGAACACAAGCGATTGGTTGTGAGGACAGCCACTGTGCAGTGCAGAAACGATGGAGATTCGGGGTATTGTCCCATTGTCGGTAATCACGAAACCATAGATGTTTTCCCCTGCTTGTAACCTCAACCAACTGTCACGTTAGTAGCAGTTGGCGACACTTTACTTGATTTGCTCACTGCCTGTTGAATTTAAATGAAACCATAACAACCGTTTTTAGCGCACGCTAACTACTTCTATTATTCTTTATCAACAGTGGTATAACCACGTGACATTCCTAATCACTCTGCAACGAAGTGATCTTCATACCATGAGTTGCATCGTCGATGCGAAGACGTTCTTTAGTACTGAACACTAGTGGAGAGTGGCCTGAAGCGCCCTTTGACTGCTTCGAACACTCGCTGGTATCGTGTCTACTGCGGTAGTTTTGCCACCGTATTTCCTAGACCCATAGATGTTGGTTCACCAAAAGGAGCTTGTTCTGCACCTGTAGGGCTTGAGTGTCAGCGTAGAGTTGACCGAAAACTGGCGAAATTGATCGTGAGATCCAGTCGACACTTCGAAGTGACGTAATCGACCCTTTTCCGGACAAAGGAGTGATCCCAACTGATATGCAACGTCTGCTCCTCGGTTTCGAACCCGAGCTGCTACCTTGATTTGGGCATTCTGACGGTATCTTAACCTCGCGTACAACTTCGTTACCGACACATATCAGTAGAGCGTCTGTATTGATTACTGACACAACTGATATCTACCAAACTGTCTGGACGAACCTGCACCCAAATCATCAGAACCTGTGATTAAAGTTAATCACTAGGGCAACCAGTAACTAACACACAGCGTGCACCTTTGAACAGCCGTCGGGGGCGCGCAGTGCAACACGGGCAGCCTGTCGGGTGGAACTTCGCTCCTCGTTACCCCTTCAGCCTCCGGTCGATGGGCCACGGACACTAAATCGGCGTGTGCAAGACAGGTCACATGAATGTGGCGTGGTGTGTGTGTATGCTTGCTAACTGTGACGCACAAACGAGGGTCAAGCTGGCGGAACCGTGTGACAGCCGTTGAAGTAGGCGTGGTATCGGTGGCAGCCGCACAATCCCCATCGATTTGTGTAGTGTGGCAATCTTGCTCATTGGTGCTTCACCACCTCTGTGCCGCTCACGGAAGTGAATGTGAGGCTAGCACAATGTTTCTAACTAACGAGCACACAGTACACACACTATGTTTAGCCTCACTGGGAGTAAGGAGGAGGCAGTTTCCAATTCACCCAATTATTAGCTCACCGGCACTTTTGCGACTAAAGGGGTTGCAATAAATAGCATAGCAGTCGAGTGCAACCAATAGAGTTAAGTGATGACGCCTACCTTTTCAGTTTCGACCCGACCGCCCTCTCTGCCGGTGGATTTATGGTGTTGACGAAGGTTGTACTACTTTCAGTGTTTCGCTCCGATCACTGCACTCCACAACGGGTTTCGTCCTTGTTTGGACGAAACCTTCGGTCGTGGAGTGCAGGGATGGGAGAGAGCGACACCGAGACTCTGCACGTCGGACGCGGTCCCAGTGTTCGGGATGGCAGAGGTTGACTTCAAAGTCAACCGAGGCCAGGATCGGAATTGCGTATCGCAACCCAAGATACGCAGTGAGTGGTACAAAACCCAATACACACGGTTGGTAATGCAAAACCAAATATTCCTTGTACTGCTTTGTTTATAGGGCAGTCAGGCGACTCACTGATACATCAGTCAAGAGGCGATGGGAGTGTTTTATCAGTGAACTGATGCGTCAAATGAGCGAGCTATACCACCAATGGAGACGTACTTAACCGATTCGATTACTGGACACGGATTGGCCGATGTTCCTATCAATTACTCGCTGTTTGTTGAAATGAGTCAAAGGAGGAGACTTGTCGGCTTATAAGGTTCGTTAGTTATGGATGTGAACGGACAATTACTTTCGACGAGTTTGGCTTGTCAAACATGCTGTACTATTCGCTATGTTGACTGCCTAATATACGCTTGTCCCTGAAGGACTGTGTAACTCAACACAGATCACGTTTATCAGTAAGTAGAATTCAACTACTGGCCTAAAACCACTGTTAACAGGATGAATATGAGGCATTGCGCCCCTATACTTGAGTTTGCGTACAGTCCAGTAAATAAAAACTATCAATGAACAATGAGTTATCACGGGATAAAAGCAAGTGCTTGACACGTCCCGTAGGATGGTTGAGGTGAATATGATGAAATCAAAATATGTCTGGATCATCTATCGAACGTCTGCCGAGATAAATAGTTTGATAAGTAACATCAGTGTAAAATGAAAAAAATTATCGCGCGTAAACGTTCAGAAAGACGGGTGCAGTGATCATTGAGGTAAAGAGTGAGAAAAGCAAAATATGGTCGCTCACTTAGGTCCATTTGATACATAAATCCTGTTGCAATGCATCCTTGGCGTAATCTACAGTAGGGGAGTTTGGGCAACAAAATGTTGGGAGCTAAGAGCAACATCTAGTCGTTTTTTTGAAAACATGCAAGGGTAGGAGAGGATACTACTGAGTCTGGGAGTGCGTTCCAAGGTTTGCAAACCCGAAGGGAAAAGTAATTCCGTCGACACTCCAAACGGCTGTATTGTTCCTCCAACTTTAAGCAGTTACCCCTGAGCTGCGTGTTGTGGCTAAGTTTCAGCAAATGGCGGCATACGTGGTTGGGGTCACTCAATATTTGATACGCTAATATGAGATCACCGCGCAGTCTTCGATAGCGCCCGCTGAAAATTCCCAGCAACTTCAGCCTTCGGTGGTAAGAGTGATAGAGCAGGCCCTTTACATTTTTTGTTGCTCTCCGTTGTGGTGCCTCTATCGGTTCTAGGTCACGCTAGTCCCTGTACCGGTTCGCATTTGCGTTAGTGCCAGCTTACACGGGTGACTGCGGATAGCGTAATTGTCCATAACGCTTGTATCCAAAACCCCGTAAAGATACCTACGGGACAATTTCAATCTCCCTACTATCTTCGCTGCTACATTTTGCTGACCGAAGATATTACGGGTGGCAGTTATTTCGGCTTACACACTGTTAAGATAGCCGCAGTCACCCGTGTGAGCGGGCACTACACCGAAAGTGAAACGGTTCAGGGACTAGCGGTGGTTTGTATTTACTAGTCTGTACTCAAATGCAGGTGGCGGTGCATAACTTGGCTGCCGCCTTGCATAATGCGGACACATTCAACCCCTACTCAATCTGGATCACCATGCGAGTCTGTACGCATCAATTATAGACGTACATCGCCGCACACATAACATGCGAGCAACTCAGTTGAATGGCCACTGAAAAGCACCAATGGATAATTAGCTAATTAACATCTGATCGCATTCATTGTCCCATTGAACTCTGCAAAGAGAAACCTACTGGGTTTGCACACTAACAGCGATTAACTGTAGCTGTATACGGTTTTACAATAAGTGTCAGGAGCATAGCTGTCCACTACTGTTTAAATCCATCATTCCACCTAATGCAACTAGAATTATTTGAAGCGGATCAATCATCTCATTGGCTACGTACTTCAACTCCACCATCATTAAACTTGATCGTACCTTCGGGAGCGACACCATAGCTCAGTCATGGATGATCGCTCACCTAAGCCCCACCCGAATTCACTCAAAATCAAACCGGCTACCCTTAGGATCTATCACCATATTGACAGCGATGTGCATGGTGATACCGATGAAAACCCGTTGTTGGATGTGTAACATTAAGTGGCATGTCATTAAACACCGAGAAATTTGAATCGTCACTGAGACTGACCACGCACCTCCGCAAAGTTGTATCTTACACTCGTGTCAACAAGTGGGTCCTTTCGTGCGGAACCTGGAAAGTGCAAGTCAACAAAGCCGGAATTCTGACATGGGCATAAGCGCGAGACGCCACCACGGTGCCGGTGATCCCACCGATGTTGAGGAAAAAGTTGGTGGTCTCTTGTCGCGAGATAGCCCATACTGAATGCACCAGAACATATGATTTGCTTAGGCAGCGAGCTTACTAGCCGAGTATGCAAAAGACGTCGATACATACATGCTCTCATGTCAGCAGTGTCATCTCTTAAAGAGAGACAATAGAGGAATACGACAGCCTATGCTCGCGATTCGTGTCTGTGATTGGTGAGTTGTGATCAATCGACG